GGTTTTATTTTGTTTCTGGTACCGGGGATCGAATTTGGGCCGTTGCGCTTGTAAAGCAGGCGCCGGAACCACTGAGCTAAATCTCAGGCCCTCTTTCTCATTCTTTAAAAAGAAGAAGAAGAGTGACATTCCCAGCTGTGGGATGAGACTATTAGAAGAGTAGGGTCAGGATGATGGGGTCTACTCAATGAAGACTGGTTCTTCAGAAATATAGGTGGCTGAGAGGTCACAAAATAGTCCTACCAAAAACAGAACTATAGTGATTAGCCTTGCACACAAATACTATGAGTTCTTACTGTGTTTACCAAATTACTGTTGTTTAAAAGCATTGAGTAATCAAAGAGGAAGAATTTGGTTATAGCAACAGTGACTCTTAAAATCTGCCTTTTAAGCCTGGTTTAATTCAATTAACTTACTTATTTTTAGGACTATGGCATGCTGAGCCCTTTGCTGTGAGTCTACCACAAGTAGATTTAAGTGCCTCTTGGAGCTCAGCTCTTTGATTCTTAGCAAGTGGACATGGACAGTTTTGAGGTGGTTGTTCACATAAACATAAAGTATTAGATGGGGATGGTGGTGTACGCCTGTAATTCCAGCATTCTGGAAGGCTGAGGCAGGAGGATAGCAAGTTTAGCCCAGTTTCAGTGACAGTGAGACCCAGTTTTGCTATAGAAAAAAGAGCCAAGGAAGTAGCTCAGTGTGAAGGCCCTAGGAATAATCCACCCTCCCTAAAAAGGTATTCATGAAATCAGGACTTGAAAGAAGGGGAAAGAGACTGCCTAAGCCAAATACTAATAATGTTTTAGGAGTGAGTGAAACTGTCATTGTCAGTATATGACTGTGAAAGGGGGAATCCCTGCAGGACACAGGCTGCTGTTGTTGGTATGTGAGGATGGAAGAGAGTAATGTATTCTCATGTTCGGGTTAGAAGCAAATTCCTCTTCAAAGAAATGTGAGGACAGCCGGGGAATTTTTAGGAAAGTTAATTTCCACAAGGAGGTGGAGAAAGGTCAGTGCAGTTCATCATGCAGCAGACATTCCAGAGGGCAGGCATACAGTTACCAGAAGGTGAGTTGAGACTGGTCAGAGCTGAGGAGAACAGAGTGTAGGGTAAGACAGGAGAATGGGGCTGGCCCAAGGGATTGCATTTTGTGGATTACAGGCTTTTCTGAAGTCTCCTACTTCCTTCCCCCACTCTATTCTTATTATTTCTCTGCCTCATTGGACCTATACCCCAGCCCTTCATTAGTCCTCTTAGCTTCAATTTCATTTCTGTCAGGCTGCATGGGTCCCCTAACCCATATTCATCACTAAGTACCCTCCTGTCTCCTTTCCTCTGGAGCTAGACTTAGAATTTGTCTTCTCTCCCTTCCATTATTCTTCAGCTTGCTTTGCTGTTCTGGCTTCAGCCACATTATTCCGAGGTCTTCCTTACAGTTTGATTTGCAATTATGTTATTGTTAATTCTGTTGATTCTAGTGGGTTCTACATAGTCACATAGTCATTCTTTCTCAATTGATCTTTTTTGGAGGGAAGCGACTGGTTTGAACCCACTGAGCTATACTTCCTGTTCTACTTTTTTTGAGTCTGAAGATTTGACTCAGACTTGAGATCTTCCAGCCTCAGCCTCCCTGAGTGCTAGGATTTCAGGGTTGTATAACCATACCTGGCATCAGATGGGTATTGGTAAGCATGTCTTCCTAGAAATGATCTTTGTTGTCTATGATTTCACATCTTTGTGGGTTCCTCTTTGCGCATCTTTTAGTGTCCATCAGGGTTCTCCTCTAGGACTGCTTTACTCCTGGATGACCCTTCTCTCTTACTGTTGCTCAGGACTCACCAAGTCTCTCTTTTTGTTTTTAGACCTCTGACTCAAGCTTTCAAACAGAATTTGTAGTGCCTTTTGGACATCTCCAAGGCACATTAGTAGCCATTCTCACCTTTCATTAGTACACTAAACGGGCAGAGTATTCATTCCATTTTGTGCCTTCCCTGGTTCAGCCATCATCATTTCTTATTCAGGAAAGTCCAGCAGTCTACTTGCCTCCAGTTTCCTGTCTTGTTGGCAGTTCCATTTGAACATTCCAAAAGAAAACCAACCAACCTGTCTCCCTCCCTCCCTTCCATACTGGTGATTAAACCAGGGCACTGCACTGATGAGCTACATCCTCAGCCCTTTTTATTTTTTACTTTGAAACAGAATCTTGCTGAGTTGCCCAGTCTTCTTGCCTCAGGCTCACAGATGATAGGATTATAAACATGGACCATCCCACTCTGCCAAGAGGAAGCTCTAAAATGAAAAACCAGTGTGTCACTCACCTCTCTACATATATGTTTCACTGGTTTTCCACATCTTAAGATCTAGAGTCCTCACTATGCTCTGACCTCTGTTATCCATGCCAGCCTTGTTTCTCATAATTCTTTTAGCACCATTACCCCAAATCTCACCAAACATTTGGATCCTAGAAGGCAACAAAATGATTCTCATGCTACTTCCCCTTGCCCTGCCTAATCATTTTGAACAACCTGGCTTCCCTGTTTAGCCTCAAGTCGGGAATGTGCCTTTTCTATGTGTTTCTAGGCTACTCTGTACCTCTCTATCAGCGGTTTTTAAACAAAAGGGCAAAGACTGCTTTTTACTGTTTTTGCATGTATTGTAGTGAAGGTAGAATTTATGCCTGCTTTGTTCCCTGCAGTATTCTTAGCTCCTAGCAGAGTCTGTAGCACATCATGAACAAGTATTTATTATAAAAACAAGAGATGAAGAAAATGGTAAAGACTGATTGAGGTATTGAATATGGGTATTGAATATGGGTAAGTTGAAGACTTGACAAAAAAGAGACTATCAATTTGTATTCCTTGCTTAGCAGTTCATTTGGAACAGTGTGCATGATGTTAACCGTTAATGAAGACATCAAGGTAAAAATTGGATAAATGACTTGGCCACAACAAAGTATTGGGAGTGAGAACAAGAATCTTATGTTTATTAAATTCTAGGTTTAACAAATTCCATTTAAAAGATTACCTCACATTTATCAAAATTGAATATTACCTAATGAATGTACTTTTTGATTTTTGTTGGGGTCTCACTATGTTCGCAGGCTGATCTTGAACTCTTGGGCTCAAGTGATCCTCCTGCTGAGTAGCCAGAACTAACTTACAGGTGTGTACCATCACATCTGTCTAGATGTAACTTTTGTGTACTCATAGAGGACAATGATAGTTGTCCACTGCCGGTGCCACTGTATAGAATCCCATCTAGGTTACATTTAGGCAGCCTGATAAAATCACTAGTTGTATCTAGGAGACATTTGAAGCTTTCCAGTCATATATACATACATACATACATACATACATACACACACACACACACACACACACACACATACCTCAGATGTTGGATATATCTTTTTCAGTCAAAGAAACACAAGTAGAAGTAACATTAAAGAATTGTGAAGAGCCTAAGTCTGGTGGCACACACCACACTTGTTGGGGAGGCTGAGGCAGAAGACTGGCAAGCCTCAAACCTACTCCAGGCAGTTTAGAAACTTAGTAAGACCTGGTCTCAAAAATTTTGAAAAGGATAGGGATGTATGTAGCGTGGTGCAAAAGTCTTCAGTCCTCCCTGCCCCAGTACACAAGAATTGCAAAGAAGAATTGAAGTTTCATTCATTTAAACAATTGCTTTTCACAGGATTACACAGCATCTATGCATCTTTCTGTAGTGTTATATACGAAACTTATGTTTGTATCTTCCCACATTTCTACATATCTTTGACTCACATTTTCTTGTTTAAAAGTTTTTTCCCTATGGTAAATTCTTGGGGGGTGGAGTTAAAAGTCAAAGCATATAAAAATTGAGACATTTGCCTTTCTGAAAGCATTCCACTGAGAGTTGACAGAAGTATGAAAGTAAAAGATTTCTCAGTGACCTTGAAGCATTGAAAGGTGGGGAAAGGGAGAGTTGTGTGTGTAAAACTTTACTTTTTATATTGATTTAATTTATATAAAATGTCATGAATTTAAGTGTGGAGAAATAGTTTTGTATCAGATGATAATATGATTTAATGTAAATTCCTTTAAAGAGTGAATGAAAATATGGAACCATTAAAGTTCTTTTTATTCCATGTTAACTTCTAGGCATTTAAAAATTCTTGCTTTTAAATTAAAACATTGAGATCTGGATACATAGGTTGAGTTATTTTAACTTTGGCTAGAATGACTTTTGGAGCCGTGAACTTTGATGTTATTTCATAAGCCTTTATTGGAGAGGTCTGTGAAGATCATGCTTCCTGTGTTGTTGTACAATGTATTTAATTGTGTCATATGTAGTAATAACACTTCATGAAGACTTTGGTGAAAAAATTACCCTAGTGCTGCAAACAGTTGTGCTTCTCCAGAGTATGTGGTTTGTTTATGTCTAATGGGAATTGTTAACAGTGTACAGGTTATGTATGTTTCAGTTCCTCAGAGCCAAAATTATGATCTTCCTCTGGCATTCCCTTTTAGATGTAGTTTGGGGTCAGACTTTGTCAAAGATACATTCCTTTAGAGAGAGAAAGTAATGTCTTTCACAAAGCATCCCAGTATACATGTGGTATTAATGACTACTTTTATTATTATACTTGTGCCTTTGAGCTTTTCAGGTTTAAAAGTTTATTCTGTTAAAATGATAAAGAGCAGAAAATTGCCCTGTTGCTTTCTAGTTAGTTATGTAGGTCATTCCAAAGCAGCTAGAGTTAAATGCAAAAACCATTACAGAATGAACTAAAGAGTGTTAAAGTTTGCATATACATATATTTAGAGACATTTACCAAAGTATTTAAAGTTTTTTCTTCTAAAGAACAGTATAGCTTATTGATAAGAGAAACAGTTTTGCTATGGCAGACTCTCATAGTTATTCTGTGATTAAAACTGGGTAGAAAAGCTGTTAATGAGTCATTAGTACTGTACGTAAGAAGTTAAACTGTAGTAATTGTTTTCCCCCCCTTCTCTCTCAGGTCATTTGGATCCAGGGTTCCTAGCAGGTGACAAAACATCTACTGGCGATGCACCACTTAATGAAGAAATTAATATTGCCTCTTCAGATAGTGAAGTAGAGATTGTGGGTGTTCAAGAACATGCAAGGTAGGCTATCAGTTGGAGTAATGTATTCTGATATTTTAAATTGTGAATATTATTTTAACTAGAAAATAAGTGATAGGAGGACGATAGGCCTGTCATGGCTGGCAGGAAAGGTGAGGCTGTGTCTCAGTTTTTTTTGGTTTAAGAAACACTTCGTTGAGGACCAGGGATTTAGCTCAGTAGTATCACTGTCTACCTTCTGCCTTGCAAGCAAGCACAAGGTTCTGAGTTCAATCCCTGGTACCCCAAAAAAAAAAAGAAGAAGAAGGA